CCTTCTGCCGGCAGAGGTTTCTCCAGGTGTCTCCAAGGAGCCATCGTAGCGCTAAGGGTGTGCTCCGCATACACATACATTGATTTTCGCCCTTACTAGCAGGGCCGCTGGCACGCGTTGGCAGCGCCCTTCGGGCATTTTTTCGCTTAGGGTCATTTTGTGGTGAGGAGGATCAGAAAATCACCCTTCCAACTTTCTCCAGGCCTGGGTGTTTTATCGAGCGCGCCTGAAAACGCACAGTGGACCGAAATCACACTTCGATTGCGTTACTTCGTATTAGGTAATACGATAAAAAGTCCGCTCTTTTCTCAATCAATAAGGACAAGTGCGTTAAAGCACACATATAAACTTTTAAATTAAAAGCTTTAAAATGCTAAATTTCAACATCTCTAAGCTGATGATAATCGTTAGTTGTTTCAGATTTTGGCGCGAAAACGTAGGCATTCAGATCCACCGTGCGACCGGTCACCGTATGCAGTAGTGTGATGGTGTGAGTTGGGTTGGGGAATCAAGGCCGTATGGGGAGAAGGTGAGGAGATATCGGTGTGTTGACGCGGCGGATGGCAGTGAATTTTCAGGATAGGTAGCAAAAGGCTCATTCCCAGACGTTGTACCAAATTTTGCGGCGCTACGCGACGCCAACTTTTACGCTATTCGCGAAAAAAACTTAGGGAGGCTGCCCCCCCCCCCCCCGCCAGGCGAGGGCTAAGTTGGAGACAGTGATGGGACTAAGATGTTCGTTGGAGCAACTCCAAGCATTTTATCGACCTCTGACTATGATCCTGAGCGTATTGAAGTCATAGGATGGCATTCAGAGTAAGTTGAAATTTCTCCCATTGACTTATAATGGGCCGGTCGCAAAAATGACCTGACCTTAGGTCATCGATATAAAAATTCCGAGATATAAAAGTTGTAGCTCGTGATGACTTTACTATTTCCTGTGGGTTTCAAGATCATATCTCAGCAACTGTGGGCTTGGTGGGATTGCAAACTTCGAAATTTACGTTTCGAGGTAGGGTCACTTGACCTGACCTGGTGACCTGACCATAGGTCACCTGGGGTCAAAATTTTAACTCAAGGTGTGCAAAAGTTGGGAAAACAGGTATGCAAAATTTGGCGGCGCTACGCGACGCCGTTTTCTCGCGATTTGCGAAAAACCACAGGGGGGGGTTGAAAACACCCCCCCTGCAGTGCGCGTGTTAAAAGTACCGCGCAAAGTGGCGGTGGATCCATCAAGCCTGACCGAGAAAGAGCCTGTTTTAATTTAAAAGTCACCGACCAATTGACCTAGGGAATGGACAAGGATGTCAATTGCTTCGGTGACCCAAATTTTGCAGGCCCTTGCTCTGTCAGGCTCGATGGATCCACAGTCACTTTGCCGTTACGACGTTGTGCTCCTCTTGGCTGTCTTACATTAGTTTTGAGTTGAGATAGCCAAAATGGGGTCCCTGGCCTGAAAATACCGGTTTGAGCACTCACAAGATCGAAAAATGCCTCAAATCGGAAATATCAAATTTCAAAGTTGCAGCACTTGGATTCAGAGGGGCTAGTGCATTAGAATGCCCCCTCTGAATGTGTGACGTCAGCGCAGAGATAACGATTTTAAATGTTTTACTAAAACGTTTGGTAGCACGCGGTGGCATATGCTGCTTTGTGCGCAACAAGTGCCGCACTTTCATATAAAGTCGCTAGGAACAGCGGAGATCCCAAAAAGTAAAGAAAAGTAAAAGTCTAATCACTGTCTTGAAAACCGGTGAATATTTTTCGATGAAATTTGGAAGATATTCGTTTTCGGCTTTCGCTCTTTCTGAACCGAGCGACATCACTTTCATGCCAATTCATTAAAGGGACCCTCCCACCTTCAAAAAAGTTAATGAATTGGCATGAAAGTGATGTCGCTCGGTTCAGAAAGAGCAAAAATGAATATCTACCAAATTTCATCGAAAAATATTCACCGGTTTTCAAGATATTAGACTTTTACTTTTGTTTACTTTTTGGGATCTCCGCTGTTCCTAGCGACTTTATTTGAAAGTGCGGCATTTGTTGCGCGCAACAGGGCCTCCTCTAACATACCCACTGGGTGGGCAAATGCCCACCCAGTCGCCACAATTGCCTACCCAGTGGCGTCGATTTGCCCACCCAGAAGCAAATGCAAAAATAAAGGTCCGGCCGGACGTCCGGTACTACCTTTCCGGTCTTAAGCAAACTGGATGCTGTTTGAAGGTCAAAAAAAGTTTTCTGGTTGCTCGATATTCAGGAGCGTAGCCAGGATTTCCTCAAGGAGGGGGCTAAACGCACAAGGGCGCAAGATAACCCCCTCAAAATCCAAAAAGCCATCGGGTTGCATCCAATATTTTTTTGGATGGGGCCCAAATAAATGGAAAAAAAATATTCATTAACAAACAATGTTAGAACTGAGGGGGTAAGCAGTATATGGGCCCCTGTTAGACAGGCCCACGAATAGCTTCATAGAGTCGCCAGCCGGTTCTGATGGCGGTCTGAGGACCCGTAGGTCGGATGAGGGTTCTTCAGACCGTCACAGGCCCCTATAGCCCATGAGAGCCTCGTAAGCCGTCTGAGGGTCATATAAGCCGTCTAGGGCCACTCAGACCGACAAAAGGCCCCTTGCACTTGCAGAGGCCCAGTCAGGCCGACGTAGGGCCCTCTCAGACAAACTAAGGGCCCGTTCAGGTCATTTGAGGGCCTCCTCAAACCGATAAGGGCCCCTCAGATCGACAGTGGATCCGATCCGAGCTCCCTCAAACCGATATAGGGTCAGACCAACAGTCGGAACGCATTGATTCTGTTTACACACCGTTGGACCCAAGTTGGACCCATCCCATCCAACTGGCCCCCTGGTTTCAATAGGGCCCCAAGGCTCTAAAATTGGGTCTCTCTTGGCCAAAGAATAACTACTCAGCTGTGTCAAAGGATCTGCCGCAGGGCCTTTGCGTCGCCAAGGGCCCACTGTGTCAGTCAGGGGCCTCTATGGAATAAGGACCCCTGGCTTCCAGGAGGGGCCATGGTCCCTTTGGCCCCCTCCTTGGCTATGCCGCTGCAGGTGACAAACGTTCTTTCAGACGACCAGGGGGCAGGGGCCCAGGCGACCAGAACCCCAGGTGACCAGGGGCCCCCAGGCGACTAGCTCCCCCCAAGCGACCAGGGGCCCCCTGGGCGACCAGAGGCCCCAGGAAACCGGGGGTCCTCGGATGAGTGCAGGGGCCCATTGGGTAATCAGGGGCACCTCGGGTAACCAGGGCCACAGAAATGAAACTTGAATTGATATAAATTTGCTTCCGAGTAAAATACGTTTTATCCAGTGTTAGAAAAAAATATCCCGGGGCCTGTGGGGCCCCCATGGCGCCTTCTGCGCTCAAGGGAGGGGGCCATTGCCCCCGTGGCCCCTCCCCTTGGCCACGCCCCTGCCGATATTGGAGTTATCAAGTAATTGTCTCGTAAGTGAAAAGGCACGTACAATAAAGGTACAACCCTCTGCAAGCTGCGTGGTAGGTATCTTTTTTCGACAAAACCGAGAATAACGCGAATACGCTAACGGTCATTCGGAAATCGTAACAGCAAGACGCGCGAGACTCCGCACCTTAGATTGGGCTTATTTTGGTATACATTTTCCATCTAGTTTGACAACAACACACAAAAGTTTATATTTCCCCCCAAAGCAAACTTTTGCTTTTTTGCTACGGTAAGAGTACACATTGTTCAGTGACTGAATTAATCGAAGGGGTGGAGCATGGCGCATCTATATGCAATGTGTTCCGACCGACTGATTATCATAACCTTTGAGATATTAGGTATCGGTTTTGTCGAAATAAGAATACCTACCACGCAGTTTTTGCGGAGGGCTGCAAGTACAGCCCTCTGCAGACTGCGTGGTAGGTATCCTTTTTTTCGACAAAACCGAGAATAACGCGAATACTATGCTATCGGGCACTCGGAAATCGTAACAGAAAGATGCGCGAGACTCCGCAGCTTAGATTGGCATTATCATCGTATGCATTTTCCATCCAGTTTGGCAACAAAACCCAAAAGTTTATATTTGCCCCCAAAACGAACTTAAACATTTTGTTGCCACACAAGGCGTAGGTATGCTTTGTTTATTGATAGGCCCTATCGAAGGAGTGGAGCATGGCGCATCTATTTGCAGTGAGCTTCGACCGACTGATAACATGACTTTTGAATTATAATCAGTTTTGTCGGAAAAAGAATACCTACCACGCAGTCTGCTGAGGGCTGTACATGTAATCTGGAACGAATCGCTCGAGCATCGCTAACCATAAAACATACGACAAACGTTAACTATCATTTTATTTCCAATAATGGCACAGCTTATTTCGTCTAATCCCCGCACCCCCCCCCCCCCCCCCCCGGTAACAGGTTTTGAAATTGGTTGAACCCCAAAACAAGTGGCTGGATCCGCCCTTGGGCGGGGAAGTGGCGAAAATTTTGCCCACCCAGTGAAAAATCCTTAGAGGAGGCCCTGGCGCGCAAAGCAGCATATACCACCGCGTGCTGCCAAACGTTTTAGTAAAAGATTTAAAAATCGTTAGATCTCCGCTGACGTCACAAATTCTAAGGGGGCATACCAATGCATTAGCCCCTTAGAATCCGAAAACTGCAAGTTTGAAATTCCATATCTCCGAATTAAAGCATTTTTCGATGTTGTGAATGCCCAAACCGGCATTTTCAGGCCATGGCCACCAATTTGGCTATCTCAACTCAAAACTAATGTTAAGGTGGGAGGGTCCCTTTAACTTTTTTAAGGTGGGAGGGTCCCTTTAACAGAATGCTGAATAGCATGGGTGGGTCGGTGCAATTGCTTACGCAAATTGGATGACTTGATAGGTAAATGATGATTATGATTGAATTTCAACATTCGGCATTTACTAATAATAACTACATGTGCTCCTACGGAGTTTGAGTTTTGCTCTAAGAAAGCATGCTTCTCGTTCAACATCACAGACACACATCATTCAAACACATGCTCATTTAGCAGTTGTATTTCGTACATCACCGGTAAGACGGTAGACATGGAAAGGACCGGCGGTCGAGCCCACAGAATCGCATCGGACTCTGGGCCACACTTCTTGGTAAAGAGTTCACACTCACGTTTGAGTTTAGCAGCCACACTCTCTCATCGATGCCAGTTCGCACATATATCGGAGTTGAACTCACACTCTGGCCAGTTTAGAAAAGCGGTCCGCACGCCTAGATCTCATATTCGGCGTCCATCCCAGTTCCGTATCAGACTGTCACAGCGAACTTCCAGCGAGATATGAACAGGATGCCACGTGTCTACACCAACGCTAGTTCAGCACAGCATCACAGGCGACTCATTAACTGACATGGCATGACATCTGACATACGAACCTGACAGATTGCTTGTTGTCCAGTATGACAACTTGACACCTGATTTCTGGCTCCAAAAATCAGATATCTGACTTGGACATTGTCGGTTTTATTGGCTCTTTGACGACGCACCAGTCAGGTTCGGCTATTAGCGTCGGTTCTTTTGGTCCGACTTGCTGTTCTTCGGAGCTGGAAGGCCGGCTAATGCTTATGTGAAGGACTTGCAATAAACCAGGTAAACACAGCACGTGCCAGGCTGACAAAATCACGACTGACAGGCTCACGACTGACGTCATGAACAATGTCACACGGCAAGACTGACCTACCGCTGGCATAGGTCAACGCTTAGTACAGTGTCAGGCGGGCCCCACGCAGGCCCATTCCAACAGTGGACTCCACCCGACTCAAATGTCGTCTCCCTCAGCTTCGTTCCACCTTGGCGAATGCGGCCACACTGGAGAAGTAGCGCGCGTTGTCCTCCGAGACCTTCTTCTCCGCCGCCTGCGGGTTCACAATCTCCAGACCCTGTGTCGGGGAAGACGACAGGGGAGCGTTACAACGGTGCTTATCAGAATTGACGGTTAACGGCTTGAGTTAGTCATTGGCGAAATAGTGTAACTGCACCATGAATGGATGGATGGATGGATGAATGAATGAAAGAATGAATGAATGAATGAATGAATAAATGAATGAATGAAAACTGTGCAAATGTACGATAAAATGCATGGATAACAATTAATAAAGCACCGCGACATAGTGCAAGTACGCAGAAAAGGCATAAAAAGCGGCACGACAGGCCAAATGGCAAACACCTGGGACCGGTTACCGAAATAGGCACGTAATGAAGAGTTTCGCGTTATCAGTTATCCAGTGACCCGAGCAGCAATAGCCCAGTGAGCCCTAGAGTGATCCAGCGACCAAACCAGATGCGGCAGCCCAGTCACCAGACCAGGAGTAACTGGCACTTCGCCCAAGCACTTAAACCGCTGACCAGCTGAGCAGGCGAACGGCCAGCTGTCCAGCATTGACGCAGTCTTGGTGTCCAGCCTGTAGGACCAATAAATTTGTTATAAGTGGGTTCATTAGCCGAGTGTTTTTTTCATAAATCCATACGAACCTGCAGAGGAGTGAAAGCCACGCTCGACGCCGTGCCAGCCACCTGTTTCTTCACGGTGGTGGTTCCTCCGTAGTTTTGTTGGCGCTGCAGGCTCTTCTGTAGTGTTTTTGAGATTCGTACCTATATAACAGAGGACACGAGACGTTACGTTACAAATACATTACAGCATATTGGTAAAACCGATCTAAGCTAGGGTAAAGCATAAATGATACTACAGCTAGCAGCGGTCAGAAAGCGTGTGAAGAGAAAATCTACGTTGGTTCACATCAAATGGACGTCGATTTATTTTACGAACATAACGAGGGAAATAACGTACCTAAGTAGTGCAGCGACCCCTAGGGCTCATAACCCGTTACAATTGGGTTTATTATGCAAATGGTCTTTTCACAAAACAGTAGTGAAGCAGAACTATTCAAAGTCATAAAATGAAATGCGACGATAAAAAGCACACATGCATGAGCTATAACAATCAAGCTGCAACTTAAAACAAAACGGTACCAATGATAGGAAGCATAAGGTGTAGGGTAAGGGCGGGTAAGAGTACGCGGGCGATAAGAGTACGCATCAGCTGTTTCGGTTGCTTAGCAACGCGGGTTTGTCGAGTTCATGAAGTGACATGAAGCCGCCAGTGCGCGCTTGTCACCAACGGAACGTGGGCGTTGCTTGGCGACGCTGTTGAGTTTAAGGCGATGAATATTATTTTCGAGCGTTAAGATATTATTATGGTATGGTACAATAATGTTGATACTTGGCAGCTGAGATAAGGTACATTTCCGTGATTGTTGTGGGAAACTTGTGAGGTTATCTGGGGAAATACTGTGCAGTGCAATATTCTGTTTGCGAAGTTTTGCACAACGTTTCGGGGTTGTTTTGTACGCGAATTGCATGTACGGTAAGAGGACGCACTGTTCAGGAGGGTAAGAGTACGCAGAATTATACATTAAATCGAATATACAGAAATATAGAATTATTTATCAATCGCTCAATGACGTTTGTTTTGTAGGTATATCATCAATGGAGTACTGTGATGTAGATGCGTACCCGAAATTCTTCCAAATATGAGTTATTCTCCCTTTTGATTGTGCATTTTTGTAAAGAAACACACGACATGATTATTTCCTGATTTATAGACTTGAAAGATTTATTTTATGTTTTTCTTTTTGGATACTAGAATTAACTTAAATGCCTTCTGAGTTTGAAGTTAAGCATTTGGACAGTACAAGCTGCATAGGTGTGTGTTTATATGCTTGCGTACTCCACCCGCCTGGCGTGCGTACTCTTGCACACCCCATATGGTAAGAGTACGCAACTGCAGCGGTTCAGAAAATGTCAGTTTTAGACCACTTCCATTTACGCTGAAGGATCGTTGCCCCATGGGTTGATGGCTAATTCAATGAACTTTAAGATTCCCTTTTTGCGATTTCTTTCTTTCAAATATTAAACAAATGAGAGCAAGAAATCCACTAAGTGCGTACTCTTATACGACTTCACCCTACAAGAGTGTGTCCTTTGAACATTTCTAGCTAAGATACGAGCAAGCAACACTAATTCCTCAGTAGTCAGCCGAGGGCTAGCACAAAGTAACAACTACCGCTAGATGACTAATTAACACGCCCACCCACTAGGAAAATAGCGATAAGGGCAGGTTCAGTGGTCCCAGCAGAAAGGAAGACGTCAACAACGCTCTGCAACGTGCACACACCACTGCCGAGGTAAAACAGCCCTCCGCAATGCACGGATTGTCAAGGTTAAATATCCTCTACAGTCTAAAGTCTACATCCAGTACACAGTTAAGCAGACAGTTGGACACCCGAAACCACCCCTAATGGACCCCTCCAACACCTACCTTGGTCTTTTCATCGATCTGCGCGGCTCGGATCCGCCCGGTGCCACCTTTACCGATGTTACCGCGAGTGTAGCCCAGGTCCTGCTGGTAGGCGTCGTCCTCAATCTGGAACACGGAGAATTGTCCAGGTCATCGTCATCGTCAGCACCATCCATGGTATGATGGGAGGGATAATAATGTGACTAGGCATTGTGTACGCTAAACGGCGGATGAAGTAAGTTGGTAACACTGGTCAATGAGATCAAATCATCGTTGTTTTTCGGTTTGTGTTGTCGATTTCAATTTCAACGTTAACTTCAGTCATTATGCGAATGTGTCATCACTCATCTCGACTTCGATACAAATGAACCTAGCAACACACTTCGCTTTGTCTTTCAATTATTGTATGTCTGTCTCCCCATCCCATCGCTCCAAATTCTCTCTCATTCTTGTCCCCCTCCCTCCCCGCTCATTCCCTCCATCTCCCTCATAACACACCTCTCCAAATGTCATCCTGTTGGCCTGTTTCCTCATCTCTGTGACGGCGTAGCGTTCCTTCATCTTGCGCACTCGTTTGCCGCCGCGCCTCTTCCCCGGCATATCGATGGGCGCCGGCAGCGGCTTCACGGCCTTCACCGGCGGCGGCTCCTAAAGGGGGAGAGGGGACGGGGTGAGAGTGGGGTGGCAAGAGTCTTAGAGATGGCTCAGCAGGGATGAGGTTGTGTGTGTAAGGGGGGGGGGGCGGGGAAATGAGGAGAGCAAATTAAGCGTGGTTACAAGGAGGATTGACCAAAAGTTCAGAAGAGACATTCGTATGCAGGTGCACATCCAACAACATGAGATTCTTGCTTCAAAGCAGCATACTTAACTCTTTTGCCCGGCAACCACAGGGCATAAACCCCTTTATACCTATCTGCAGGCCTCTCGTTATATAGGCCTATGGCCCAACACAATGCATACACCCTGAAGCAGCATCCAACCCTACCAATACCCTCTGTAGTCTGTAATACACACAGCAGCGACCGTCCCATCCCCACCAATACAGCTCAAAGCAGCAACAGCTCGATTTCCGCTTCTCACCTGCATTTTGTCCAGTTTCCGTTCGATCTCATCCCGGAGACCTCTGCCGACGTGGCCTGAAGGACACTCGTGGAAGCTGTCTACCCGCGCCGCCAGTGCCACCTTGGCTGACACCACGCGTGCCGTCTTGCGGCGCAGATCCTGCGATATGGGGAGACGGCAGCGGTGATTTAATGGTGTTTGGGTTTCAATAAAGTAAGCACAGGTGTTAGGTTATTACAGACGGTTGACTGTTCCTGAACAAGTTCAGAAACTCGTTGAACCGTTAATTTATCGACCACAGCAAATTATTCACGATCTGTGAGTAGTGTGAACACCGGCACCTTGAAAAGGCAATTCATTCACGACATTCTGTCATTTGTACAAAGTGCCTCAGACCCACTGCAGATGTGGCATTGTAGGTACTTCTTTACAAACCACAGTTATATAATCCATATGCGATGGACGATAATTCTTGCACGCTATATGCATAGTAAATAAATCTACCACAACACGTATCAGAATCCACCATCTTATTCGGTGGGAGGCGGCAGTTTCCTTGACAATCGGCGCGTAGTGCATAAATATCAAATACACAGCATTATGTGGTAGAATCAACCACAAACTGTAGTAGAATGTCCCACCTACCGGCGGCAAGTCCTGAACAATCGGCGAGTAGTAGATAAATCCGGTGTGTGGTAGCACGTTGGCCTGTGAGAATCCGGAGAGGGTCCGCTTTTCGGCTCCCACCAGCATTATGTTACAGGCGGGCATTTTGGAGAGAGCGGTCAGACCTCCGGCGGCACCTGAGGGGCACACGGAGGGCGTGAGGCGAACGAAGAGAATTGGGGAGACATGGAACTAGACTGGTTTAGACAGTAGATGGCAACTGGTGAAAATAATGTGAATGACGAACAAACAATACACAGCAAGCCAATACAATAACAAAAACTACACAACTACGAGCACAGGAGTATAAATCCCATAAATAAACGGTGAATAGAAGCAAAGGAAAGCAGATCATAGCAAGGCACTTTGCCAGCAGAAGACTAGACTGGTAGGAGTTCTGCTGCACGTACTCACCCATGAGTTTGGCTGCGGTGGCCGCGCCGACGACCGACGACAGATTGGGAGCGATGAACGTCATCCGCGACTCGATGTACTCGTAGATGCGCAGTTTTTGTCGGTTCAGCTCCAGTGCCAGGTCACAGGCTTCCATCAGACGTGCCAGATCAGCCTCGGGCAACGGCTCACTGCGGGAAGGTCAGGTCAGATCATGGGTCAAAACTGTTATGGTGCATGTTAGACTTAGTCTTGTCGGGTCATAGTTAGGAGTAAAAAACATCCTAATTTACAAATAAATCGGCGAAAATCAACACCGATTGACAAGAACGGCTCGGTGGCATCTACTAACCCCTGTGTGGTGGAGGCGGTGACCGACACCACCATGATGGTCGCCTGAGTGAGGATCTGCTGCAGCTGGTCGTTGTTTTTGACCCGCTCCAGGTCGTTAGCCAGCTCTCTGGCGGTCATCATGTAGTCGAGAGGCCCCACCACGAGTGAGTCCAGTTCGGGGAATCGGCGGCCGTACAGGTCCTTACAGTACTTGTGGATGATGCCTGCGGGGAAGAGAGAATGTGAACGAAAACTGCTTCAATGGCTTTGTCACGCTAGTTGTAAATCAGAGGATAGACACTACAAAAAAAAAAACGAGACAAAAATGAACGAAGGCAAGAGATGCAAAGCTATTAAAGCGCTAAGCTCGATTATTAAGACATTTTTTCAGTCAGATGACAGGTACCTAACAGAGCTGATAAATGAAGCTGGAGAGGTCAAACACACCAGAAATCGAGTCATACGGACGGTATCGTTGATCGGCAGAGACACCCTCTAGCCCAGTAATGTAGCAATAGCGCCATCTGCCAGCGCTCCTACCCAACGACCAACGTTCCAGTGCCCCAGCTACCTACCCCACCCCAGTGATACCATCCCTTAGTGATGCGATATCGCTTCTCGTCAGCCTCTCACCGATCTCTGCTCGTTACAATCCGACAATCAGTAAACTTATCTCGCCCACTGCGGCCCTCACCGATCTCACCGATCAAACCGAGTACCGCAGGGAGGCGTACCGCGACAGTGGCGCCCCTAGCGGCGTATCTAAACAGTTACCGCTGCTCCGTCGTCCCCAACCGGCCAATCGGCCCATCACAACCCAATGATACCATCTGGCTATCAGTAAAGCAGCCTAGCCCTCTAGCAATCAGAAAAAGTAGCCCTGCCATAGTGCCCTCGCCCTCTACAGTCTACATATACGACGACCCTTACCGATCTCCGTGTCAAACTCTGCGGCCATCTGGTTCACCTGGACGATCAGTCGATACTCGGGGTCCGCCTCGACGGGACCGACCATCTCCTCGGCCTTACGCTCCTGTCAAAGGGAGAGCCGAAAGGGGGTTAGACAGGCAGGCAGGAGGGTGGGAGGCCTCGGCCTCCACGGGACCAACCATCTCCTCGGCTTTACGTTCCTGTCAATGGATGGGGCAGTTAGACAGACAGGCAGGAGGCAGGTAGGGGTCAGCATCCAGGAAGCCAACCATTTCCTCGGCTTTATGCTCCTGGCAACAGGAAAATGAATGGTTAGATGAGGGAAATGAGAGTTGGGGTTGGTGAGACTGCCATGTCAGGGGAACACAGGTAGTCAGGAGGATGTGGGGGGTTTTAGTGAAAAACAGGCAGTCTCCCATGAATTTCTGGTGAGATAAGGACTTCTGAAAACAATGCAAAAGCATTACACATGAAATGTGCAACACATGAAATTGTCCACACATAAATGCAAATGGCAAATGCTTTGGTGTCTCATAACACTGTACATTTTATGTCATGAAAAACCATCAAGCCTGGTACCAGAAAGGCCAAAGTACAGCCAGTGGCAGCATCTATTATCTACCTACATTCCCTGTGCACCAGCTTGGATCACCCCAGCGCAGGGAACCCTACCTCAGCCGCCTCCTGTTTACTTACTGTAGCAAAGAAGCGTTCCACTGATTCCATCATTTCTGCTAGCCTTTGTGAATTGGCGAGCTTGAGCAGAGAGTGGACGGAGCCAGATGCTGGTCCTGCAATGAAAGAGCTTTGTCAGTCAGTGGATTTGAAGTGGGAAGAGCCAGTGCAAAAACAACAGAAAAATGTGGCATGCATTGGACTACAGACAAACAACTGAAGGATAGCAACAATTAACAGATAAATGTGGGTATACAGCAATAAAGTTGTCAGTTAATGTAACAAAGCTAGCAAAGCTATGAAGCTATGAAGAAGTGTATTATAGAAACAACAAATGTGGAATTGTGAATCACATCTACTTAACAATGCTCACAAGCAGCACCTATTATATGAGCTATTTCCCCCACCATTAGTGGCTGCAGCATCCTCAGTCTCCATCTTTTCCTCCTCTTTGATGGTGGCCAGGGCATCTTTGTTGTCCTGCAGCTCATCATCCCCGTGATCCTCCTCCAGGTCAGCGAGCAGCTCGTCAGCCAGTGACATGGTGGCTGCTTCAGGTGGTCACTGAGAGAGAAGTGGTGTCACACCAAACTATGACAACAGCTGTTGGATGACCACAAAAATTGTGGCTACACAATACACATGCCTTTAGCACCATCAAAGAACTGCAGGAATCTACAAAATAAAAACAAAACAAGAAAACAGATACCTATAAACAACAGCATAAAAAGGCAGAAAAATATCTGCACCAGTTATGACTTATGTTCTTATTTGAAAGTGATGATGACAGTACTTTTATCATAAATCAACTCTGCGACGACCCAGGGATTCAGTAGTTATTCTAAAAATATGGTGACCGGCCAGCAGACTCGTTACTCTTTAGTCTCAATATTGTCCACGCTTAATTTGATGACAGCGATTGATGATTTGATGAAAAAATAAAAAATAAACAGCAATACGCTAACTAAATTATAGTTTACACTATAGCCTTGGTTTACACCAAACAATTGCATCATTTGCATACCAAAAAAGTAAATTGCGGTGTGGCGAGGGTTGTAAATCGTGTGGAACACACAAAACGTTTCGTAAACTGTTAACTGAAATGCCCGTGTTCTTCGACTGAGCTTCGTGCACAGGTTTTCCCGCAAGCAACATTAAGCGTCGCTCAATGATACAAAAATAGAGGCACAATATCTTCAAATATTTTTTGTACATCAGTAAATGAATGAGAAGCAGCAATAGATCAAAATTAACGTTAAATTCACGATAACGTGGATTATTTTCGAGAGCAGCTTAAGCTATTTCCTGCTCATAGTACAGAACTGAACATTATTCTCTCACCGACCAGTCGTCACACTTGCGTCATAAATGTAGTGTACGTAATGTCGGCTATTTTGCTGTCACATTATATAAGGCAGTATAACAGTGAATTTGAATATGATGGAACTGTACGCACATCAACCAGAGACTGAGACTACCAGGCTGTTTAAATGAAAAAAAAAATCGGATCACCGTATGCAACTTTTATCATGACCATCAGTCTACCAGTAGATTGATAAGTTGCAATCTACTGCTGGCAGTCAGGCATTCGGCCGGGCCGAATATGCCGCTCTGGGCAGCGGGATCGCCGAATGTTTGTCTACCAGCAGCAAGCAGTAGCGGCGGAACAGATTCAATCAAGGAGGGGGGGGGGGGCACTGCCGAGTTTTGGTCCCATTCTTTCCATGCAACGCCCATAGGGCTAATGTTAAAATGACAAAATCAAAGGGGGCACGGTGCCCCGGTGCCCTCCCCGTTCCGCCGCCTAGGTATGGCAGCAAGATCAGAAAATTGCCGGCCCAGAATGTGCTGCTACCGGCAGAAGATTCGACGACGTTATGTGTGCTAGCAGCAGATTCGATCATTCGGACCGATAGATAACTACCGTCCGTGGGCCATTGATGGCAGTGAAGACGCGAGACAGCATATTCGCGAATCTGTCCGCGCCCCGCAGCCCGCGGTTATATGGCCTTGCAGCCCGCAGGCGCAGTAGTTTCGGCCAGCGTCATATGACACACATTTCTATATGAGATGAAAAAGCAATGGCGTGCGGTGGAATAGATATGAAAATGAAATACCTACCTAATAGTAACTGTCATGTTCGCTTTTCATAATTCAACTTACCGATCCTCCACTTAATAAGATCGCGTTTTCTAGGTATCCCCTATTGAATTCCATTTCACAAATACGTAACAGAAGACATTGAATATCCCAATGGCGGACCTATACCTACAGGTGTGGCCGGGTCGCTCATAGGCCTACTGATATTTTTCCGTTAGGCGTAGGTATTTAAGACTCACTTCGCGCATCGCGCTCGTTCATAAAACACTTACCTACCTGTAAATAACATAAATTTACGGCAGCCCTGGCCTGGTTCTGGCATCCGTTAATCGCATTGGCCATTGATCAACATAACTAGAATATAGTTGGCTGCCTTCAAGCAGGTTTAGGTATACCTACCGGTTCACATCGGCTAAATCAGATGGACAACTGGACATGTCTTCATCAAAAAGCACCAACCGGCGACCATGACGGTCGATTTTTAATGTTGGGTCATTGCGACTGACCGAAAGGGTACGAAGAATAAGGCATTAAGCCGTCCGGACGATTTAAGAAAATTGCCACAGGCGTGACGCTTCAATTTCATGTCGTAGATTGCAAATTTGCAGCTACATAACTGGTGGATAGCTAGGCTGTCAGTGCCCGTGCTAGGTGGTTACGTAAAATGTGTTGCGGGGAGTCGGATTGGCCATTCTTTTCGCCGGCCCCATACCGCAATGATTAGCCGCATGTTTGAGTTATTTCGTTTACGACCGCTCAGTCGAAAGAGGTCGCCTACAACACAGAGAGGTCAAAACAGAACAGTGCGTCATATGAGTCTGCCCGGAAATTCAGGTGATAATCAGAGCACGACAGTCATGATAATGCACTGCATGGAACATGGATTTTACCATTTGCTTATTATCCCGGCAGTTGCTGGGGTATTTCGCCACCCACCGTTTGCTGGGGGGGCGTTTGTATGTATGTATGTATGTATTGACGATCAAGAGCAATCCACAATCGGCGTGGCGATTACACTCCGAGTCCGAGCTGGTTGAAGATAACACAAGAAATACCTATACAAGAAAACGCACACACTTACGGATACGAAAATGCACAACGCGAACGCCGAACACGCACATACTTGGTGTAACCCGCACGAAGCCGCGTTCATAACTATACACACAGACTCGTTTGCCTTTCATAGTCCAAGAGTCATGAGGCTAGCTACTATGGCTACTCTGGCTAGGCTTAAGCTCCTTTTTTACAGCACGGGCAAATCTGGCTGGAGGCAACTGCGTTAGCTCGAGGGGGAGAGTATTTAGGAGCGCCGCGGCACGGTAGGCGAATCTACGTTTTCCGGTCTCTAGTCGGGGTCGCGGTAAGTGGTAGAGGTGGTCTTGGCGAGTAGACCTTGCTCGTGTTTGGGAATTTTTGGAAAATAGGGTCGCAATCTCCTCGGGTTCACCTCTCTGGATGGCCTTGTGCGCCGTGATAAGGGTATGGTATTCAGCCATTGTTTTAGGTGCCATCCAGCCGAGTTGGTCCCGGAGATGGGAGACATGATCAAATTTACGGCGACCGAAAATGACTCTAGCGGCAAAGTTAAGAATTTTCTGAATGCGATCGAAGTTCTTTTGGCTACCATTACCGAATACGGAGAGACAGTACTGGATCCGTGACATGACGAGAGCCACCACTAGTGTCTTGGTGACACCGTCGGGGAGATAGTGGCGGACATGGGAGAGGCCAATTAGGAGACCCGTGCACCGGCGACTGAGCTCGGACACATGCGCGTCCCAGGACAGGGTGCCGTCGAAGATAACGCCCAGGTTGCCCACCTGCTTGCATGGCACTAGTTTGGTGTCGCGAAAAGAAACGGTGAAAGCAGGTATGCTTCTCAAATTTTGCCGACTGCCGAAAGCCATGAGCTGAGTTTTAGCAGTGTTTACTTTTAGAGCATTTGCACTGAACCAATGGTCGAGAGACGCCAGTGACGCTTCCAAGCGCGAGATGAGTCCCCTAAGGTCGTTTAAAGGGCCACTCACCAACAATTGAGTATCATCAGCGTACTGGAAGACTGCTGCATCCTCAGAATAAAGTGATAGATCATTGGAAAATACCGTGAAGAGTAAGGGACCAAGTGCCGAGCCTTGAAAGACGCCCATAGAGTTGGGGAGAGGTTGTGATAATACCCGGCGACCGGACTCGTCCTTCAATGACACACTCTGTGTGTGACCCTGGAGATAAGCGGCGAACCAGGATGTCTCTATGCCGTGCATTGCCAATTTAGCGAGTAATAACTCATGGTTGATGACATCAAAACATTTGCTTAAATCAATAAGGCATAGCATAGAGACATCCCCCCTATCGGTGGCGGCCAGGATTTGGTCACTGACGGACAGAAGTGCTGTCTCAGTTGAGTGCCGGGGTCGGAAACCGTGCTGGGTATTGGCCAGAAGATGGTTTTGGGAGAGATAGCGATAGAGCTGTTTGTGAATGACTCGCTCGACCACCTTCATAATGACAGGTACTAAGGAGATAGGTCGAAAATTAGTGGGATCAGATGGGTTTCCAGACTTGAAGATGGGGTGAACTATAGAGTGTTTCCAATGAAAGGGGATATCGGACCTTGAGATGCAGGTGTTAATGATGTGAAGGATAACGTCACCTATAGATGGGAAAGCAGTTTTCAGCATGCGAATGCAGACGCCATCAGACGCACAGGCGGCAGAATTGCGCATATTGAAAACTGTGTGACCGAGTTCACCGAGAGAGATAGGTCTGGGCTTAAATCTACCGGTTACGACCCGCGGCAAACGGCCAATTTGCTCAACAACTGGATTTTGGTCACGGATCTCTGTAGCGACGCGGGGACCCACAGAAACGAAAAAAGAATTTAAAACGTCAGCCGATACATCAGGTTGAACACTAGGTCCGTCTTTCTTACCAGCCACAACCGACCTAATACTTTTCCACACCTTGTTGGGACCCCGCCCACTTATCTCTCTGTGAAGTTCGCCGCGTCGGTCTCGTCGCACTGCGGCCCGGACAGTTCGGTTTAAGTCTTTGTAAACCTCCGACTTTCTACCGAACTGCTGTAACGCGGTACGACGTTGATCCATGATTACGGAGCGAGCGAAGCGAGCGTAGTCTTTCCTTAGATTAACGGAAATTTCTGAGTATGAGCGGCCGGCCGGCCGGCCGGCCGGCCGGCCGGCCGGCCGGCCGGCCGTGGTCACGCTTTTGCGAGGCTTATATCTCAGCAACCACTTGACCGATTTACACGCGGTAATTTTTGTAGGGTAGCTTCATTCCTTCTACCAAGTATTGGACTATTCCCGATGCATGTGGGTGACCCCTTATGCACGTGCCACGTGCAAAACGAAGAGGTGTCAGTTTTGTAATTGTTGCAATATCTCGGTAACTACTTGGCCGATTGCGCTGAAAGTTGGCATGTAGGTAGGCACCCACTAGGCACTGCATATACATGTGCCAGAGTTGGGGTGCTGCTGCACGTGCGCACGTGCAGGGGTCGTTTCCAGATCTCGGGAACGGCTGGACCGATTGCGCTCAAATTTGGTACACGGTTAGGGACCGGTTAGTAGGGTGCCGTGCACAAGTCAGTTGGGACCCATTTTGCACGTGCGCACGTGCAGGGTGCCGCTTCCAGATCTCGAGAACGGCTGGGCCGATTGTGCCCAAATTTGGCACATCGCTAGAGACCAGTTAGTAGGGTGCCGTGCACAAGTCAGTTGGAGGTACCCCCTCGCAATTTCGCACGTGCAAGGCCCACCCTCTCGCTCGCTCCGTTAGTCGCCCCAAAAGGCGTTATACTGGTTTTAAGTGTGGCGGGGGTAACTGGTGGTGCAGTAGGATTACGGATGGTAATATTCTTTATAGGTGCGTGATCGTCAAAAATCGGCAGAAATTCGGTCAGGAAAGCATCCCACTGGTCACTTACGTTCGTGGCACTAAACACGCCCTCCCAATCGGCAAACATCAGGTCAGAGTTCAGGGCATCGACATCTATACGGTTGATTGAGCGGGATTGAACAACTGTAGGATTTTTGCGTTGTTTCGGAACGTTAATAGACACACGAAGGAGTTTGTGTGGGCTGAAGTGGCAAAAGGATGCAGAGCAATCACGCACAAGCTCTCTATTTTTAACCATACAGACGTCTAGCAACGAGCCGGAAGTGTACGTTGGAACGGTTACAAGCTGCTCAAGAGAATAATTCGATAAAAAGTCACTGAG